GCCGCCCGCCCGGCCGCCCGCCCGGCCGGCACCGAGGCGAGCTCCGCGCCGCGCGCACCCTCCTGGGCTCGCGGTTCCTTCTTCAGAACAGCCAACCCAGCCCCAGCGCCTCCTTGTCTCCCTCCGAACAGTTCTTGCCGTTTACCTGTCGGCAGCAACCAGTATATCGCAGCGGGGGGGTCGGGGGGTGGGATAGGGAGAAACCGAGAGAGAGAGAGTGGGGGGAAAAAAGAGCGGGAACGAGGGGAGGGAGGTCACCCGGCAATAGCTGCCCCTTTGGCTTTCCTTTACTCCCTCAGGAGCATAGTTCTCTCGCACAGTTTCTGGGTTGTTGGTTGTTATTGTTTCCCCCCCCGGGAAAGTTTCTTTCTTTCCCCCCGTTTCCCCTCCGGTAAGGCTTTGTACCGCGGTGAGTAAGTGCGGGTGGGCTCCTTTCTTTCGCCCGTCACGCGCACCCGCTCGCTCTCTCTCTCGCTCTCTCTCTTTCGCCGGCGCGGCGCGGCGCGGCTCGGCTCGGCTCCTCGACGGTCTCGCTTGCCTCCCTTTCTCTCACACGCAAGTTTTGTTTGTGTCCTAAGAAAACTTCTGGCGAGGCTGGCGGCGGCGGCGGCGGAGGCGAAGCTGAGGAAACTGCATTGCTCAAAGTTGACGTCCGGCTGAAGCGCCCGGGTCCCTTGGAAAGAGAAGTCCTTTGGCAGCCTTTTTGCGAGAGTCTGGAGAAGACATTTTCCTCGCCTTTTCTGCCCTCCCTCCTCTAGGGCGCCTCTTTCTTCTTCTTTTTCTTCTTCTTTTCACATGAGGAGAGGAAACGCGGTCAATATTTTCTTTCTTCCTTTTTTCCCAGGCAAAACAAACCAACGAAAAAAGTTTACAATTTCTGATCCCTCTGTAACCGGGGCAGGAGGGGGGTGGATGGGAAGGAAGGCGAGGCGAGGCGGCGGTCCAGCTGCTGCGAGGGAGGATGTGGAATCGCCTGGGTGGAGAGAGATGTGTGGTGGCGCGCGCGCATATATGGTATCCTTCAGCCACTAACTCCAGTGGGGAAGTTGGCTGCCAGGCTGGCGAAGCGTGGTGCTCCGGCGGTGCTGGAGAACAGCAGCTCAGCTCAGCAATGCTCTTCCCTCGTTGCCGGTGCTGGTGTGTCGCCGCCGCCGCCGCCGCCTCTCCTCCCCCTCCTCTCTTTCCCTTTCTCTCCCTCTGACAGTTCTCTCTCTGTCCCTCCCTCACAGAGCAGGGACTGTCGAATGTTTACCCTCCGCCGAGAGCGCGCGCACCACCACCACACTTTCCCAAATACAAGGAAGTCGAGCGCGAGGGCCCCTGCTGATTGGCTACCCGCTGAGTGATTGGCAGGCCCGGAATGACTGGCTCAGGACGCGAGGCCCCCCTTCCGGCCGTTCCGATTGGTTGCTTTTTAATTTAGGCAAAGTGTCGTGGAGGCTGGAAACCTGCCCTACCCCCCTAAGTCCCCCTCCCCTGGTTTCTTCTCTCTGTCGCTGCCTCCTCTCGCTTCCCTCCGCCTTCCTAGGACCCACAACATCTTAACTCTTGGAGCCCAGCGAATAAATCGGAGTTTTCCCGGCTCTGAGCTG